AAGGTTGGAAGACAAGAGTTTGATGATGACAACACACTATTGGTCATGATCACAGAAGGAGAATGTAGCAACACAAGTTTACAAGACAACAAAAATAGTAATGTAAAAAAACATTGTAGAACTAAAGTGTACTTGATTGCACAATTATATCAACCAATTATATACAGAAGAAATGCAATGGTGACTTTAAAGGAAGTAGTGCGGTGTAGCGATAAATGGTATTTGGACTCCAGTTGTTCAATGCATATGACGAGGAGCAAAGATTGGTTTGTTACGATCAATTGTGCCATAAAGAAAATGGTTAAGTTCGCGGATGGTATCACTCTAGCGACAGAAGGGATCATTGATGTATCGATCGAGTGAAAGGATAGTGGACATTCTTTGATAAATAATGTATTGTATATTCCCAAAATCAAGTGTATTATTCTAAGTATTGGTCAATTACTTGAGAAGGGTTACAAGATTCATATGGAGAACAAGGCATTACTCGTTACGGATGCAAGTGTGGTTTTGATCCTAAAGGCTCATATGGATCCCAATAGAACTCTCAAAGTTGAGTTGAAGGTTATGGAGCACAGATGTCTTGCTATTGTAGCTAATAGAGGATAGTGGTTATGACATTATAGGGTTGGGCATCTCAACTTTAGAGATCTCAATACCTTGAAAAAGAACGGATTAGTAACGAGGCTATCATCGATCAACATTCCAGATAAAATTTGTGAAGAATGTGTGCAAGCAAAGTAACATAAGGGGAAACTCAGTAAGGATGCATATTTTTGAACCAAGTGTCGACTTGAGGTAGTGTATTCAGATGTGTGTGAACCGATGCAAGTTGAGTCCATTGGTGACAATAGATATTTTTTCACCTTCATTGACGATCATAGTAGAAAACTATGTATGTACGTAGTTAAGAGAAAGGATGAGGTACTTGAGGTGTTCAAGAAGTTCAAGTCTATTATTGAGAGGCAAAACAGTCACAAACTCAAAGTTCTCAAAATGGATGGTCGGGGCATATATGTCTCAAATGACTTTAGGAGGTTTTGTGATCAATAGGGCATAGTACATGAGGTAGTACCTTCTTATACACCGCAGTAAAATGGTGTTTTCAAAAGGAAAAATAGATCGATCATGAACATGGCGAGGAACATGTTGAAAGGGAAGAACTTGCCAAAAGAGTTATGGGGAGAAGCAGTGTCCACAGTTCAATATTTGTTGAATAAGTGATCAAAAAAGAAGCATGAAAATATTACACTAGAGGAAGCATGATCTGGGTTTAAACTAAAATTTACTCATTTGAGAAATTTTGATTCTGTAGCATATTGACATGTGTCGGGACAACTTAGAAAGAAGTTAGATGATGAGGGAGAATTGATGATTCTTGTAGGGTATCACTCTATCGGTGGTTACAAGTTGTATGATGCAGTGAATAAAAGGATTGTGATCAACCAATACATCGTTTTCAACGAAAATTAAGAAGTGCGGCAGAATCTAACCGGTTACACTAGTGAAAATTTTGTTCCTTCAGTGTTGGAAAGTGAAGAACCATCCCCTGTTGAACCCTGAATGGAAGAAAATGTTAGAAGATCACCAAGGCAAAAATGTTTTCCTGCTATAATCCAAGAATGTGATCTTTTCTAGGATAAAGAAATCAATGAAGATGGTGATTTCTTCTTTTTTGCACTTATGGCCGAATTTGAACAGGTTAAAACACAAAAGGCCTTTAGTGATCTAAAATGGATTTATGCTATGAAGGAGGATCTGTAATCGATTGAAAAGAACAAGACTTAGGAGTTAATTGGTATAGCGAAAGGAAAGAAGACGGTTGGTGTATGATGGATGTACAAAGTAAAGGCAAATCCCAAGTGTAAAATAATCAAGCATAAGGCTCGATTAGTTGCAAAAATATTTTTGCAAAAATAAGACGTAGACTTTGAAGAGGTATTTGCATCAATGGCTAGAACTAAAACCATCTAATTGATTGTTGGGATTGCAAACAACAACAATTGGTCCATTTATCAAATGGACGTCAAATATGCATTTCTAACATACTGCTTGAAGAAGAGGTTTCTGTAGAACAACCTCATGGTTTTGTTGTTAAAAACCAAGATTCAAAGTTCTACAAATTGAAGAAAACATTGTACGGTTTGAAACAAGCTCCAAGAGCTTGGAACAAGAGTATAAATTGTTTCTTAAAAGAGATTGACTTCAACAAGTGTGTATTCGAACATGGTGTGCATATGAAAAAAGGTCACAAATGAAAGGGTGATAATCCTTTGTCTCTACGTAGATGATTTATTGATTATGGATAACGATGAAGGTTGGATTTCTAAGTTTGAGGGTGAGCTTATGAAGGAGTTTAAGATGACCGACTTAGGACTCATGATATACTTCCTTAGTATTGAGTTTTACAAGTCCAAGAAGGGATTGCTCATGCACCAAAGAAGGTATGCGATTGAGATTTTGAAGAATTTTGAAATGGAGCATTGTAATGTTGCCATTACTTCGGCTAAACCGAGGATGCAATTGTCGAAGAATGAGGATGAGCAAGATGTTAATTTAACTCAGTATAAGAGGCTGATTGGATCCTTGCGTTACTTGTGAAATACACTAATGGGTTTGGCGTTTAGTGTCTGTATTGTGAGCAGATTCATGGAGATACCAAAGATGTCTCACTTGGCAGCAGTCAAGAGAATTCTAAGATACGTCAAAGGATCTATTGACTAAGGAATTTTCTTTTCCGCAATGGATAAGAGCATAAAATACAATTTACTCGGATTTACCGATTCCAATTGGTGCAGAGATAAGGATGATAAAAGTCTACAACTAGATACATCTTTATGTTCGATGAAACACCAATCTCATGGTGTTCGAAGAAGAAATCGATAGTGACACTCTCTTCTTGTGAGACCGAGTATATTGAAGCTTCGTTGTATGCGTGCTAAGTCGTGTGGTTGATGAATTTGTTGAAGGAGCTAGGCAACGTAGAGGGTGGCGTTGTAAAGCTCATGGTTGATAACACTTATGCTATACACCTTGCTAAGAATCCAATTACACATGGGAGAAGCAAGCATATTGAGATGAGTTTTCACTACTTGAAAAAAATTGTTAGTGAAGAAAGGTTGAGATTAAGATATTGTAAAAGTGAAGACCATGTGGCCAATTTGCTGACCAAAGGAGTCACGATTGAAGTGTTTAAGAGATTGAAGAAGACCATGTGCATGGAAGACTTGGAACACATGAATTAAGGCGGTGTGTTAAAAAAAAGAAGCTAATTCACGTGCATGTAACCGATTGCACTATTATGTCAACCGGTTACACCCCTTGTAAATATCAAAAGAAACTTACAACAGTAAAGTGTGATTGTTGACATAATATGTCAACCGGTTACACCTGTGTATTTTTAGGTTAAAAACTAATTAACTTAGTAGCTTAGTATATGTCTTCCGGTTATACTTGTGTATTTTTTGGTTAAAAACTAACTTAGTAGCTTAGTACAACCGATTGACATAGTATGTCAACCGGTTACACCTGCGAGTTTTTCGGTGTTTATTTTGTTTAATAATTATACCTCATCATGTAATTGTATATCTTAAGAATGTGTGGTTGGATCTAACTCAAGCATACAAAACCAGCTTTAAGATGAGAATTGCTCCTATTTATAAACACATATTCAGGTCATATATTGTTTGATGTGGACCTCTTTAATAGGATAAATACCTTTAGCGTATCTTGTGAATGATGAAATGTACATATTTTCACCCTCAATTATTACTCATTCTCTCTCCCTCTCCACATTTAATTATTCACCATTTTCATCAATTTTGTGATTTCATGTTCCTACATTTCTTCTTTACAACCAATGGATTTCAGGGCTGGCCCAACTCGCTTAGAGGTCTAAAAAATGTTTAAAATGAGGCTTTCAAAATAAATAAATAAAATCTAATTTTGTACTTAACAAGAATTGAACCAAAAATCTAAAAGATACATGATCTCTTTTCTACAAACTCAACAATGAAATTTTATGTAAGAAATATGTCATTTGAAATACTTATGATCAAAATAAAAAATTTTGAAACCTTTTTTATAACAAAATTTTGAGACCTAAAACCCTTGCGTGGATCATCTTATCCTTAGGCCGGCCCTGATGAACCTATTGCACCAATATCATTCTTTCTTGGATTTAACATTTTATTTCTGCCAATATTCTCAAATGGATGACCTTCTTCAGTAAACCCCCTGATGCACTGGAAGATCTTCATTATCAAGTTGATCAAGGGAATCTTGATGTTTCTGAAATAGTATTACTGGTACCTTCCATGCCAATCTTCTTTGTATTCCAAAACTAATATTAATTAGTAAATGTTCTACTACTTTTTACTCCAATCATTTAAGAATATGATTAGTTCATATAGCAGTTAATCCATGGACTGTACATTCTTTCATTTTCAACAACTGAGTCTGTTTCTGCTACTAGTAATTCTGTTTGTCTTACAGTTACTACTCAAACTGAACCCAAAGCTTTCCTTCAAGCCTCCAATCATGAGCAAAAGGCTATGCAACTTGATGCTCTTGCTTTGAACAAGACATGACCATTGTTGATCCACCTGTTAATATGACTCTTACTGCTTTTTGTCAGGTTTGTAAATTCAAGCATCGCGTAAATGGTACTATTGAACGTTACAAGGCTAGGCCAGCGGCAAAAGGGTTCCCTTAAATGGAACTTGTAGGATATTGTGAGACATTTAGTCTAGCATCCAAGATCACTATAATATGTTGATATGAATAATGTACATAATTTATGTTTAATGTATAAACTCGAAGAAACCAAGCCAAAAAAACAGCACAAGATCAAGAAATGAAGCAACCAGTACATACTCAGCCATTACTAGCAAGAAATTTCAACAGTTGCGCATTGCTGTCTACTAAAAACACACTTCAGAAAACTATTATACAAACAAACAAGTGTCAAATTGACATCAGTACTGTTGTTGCTACTTGGTTCATTCCTTCCTAACATTAACAACATGCACCCTTAACATTTCGACTGTTCCGTCTTCGTGCAGCACAAGTTCACATAAGCATATATCCTTTTCTGTAATCTTGCTCTTTCTACAAAAATCTTCCCACCCTTGCACAAACACTCGCCCATCTCTCCACGTCCGTATTCTGCCTCTCTTTTCGATATGTTTCGCGTTTGTTTGTGGCAAGATGTGATGATATGCAGCTATTTCATTTGTCTCAACATCCTGCCATACCAAAAGCAATGAATGCAGACAGTCATCGAATTCTCAACACAACACAATCACTAAAAGCGAACATCTCTTCATAACTACGGAAAATCGAAGGTACAAATTAGAATTGTTATACCTTACAGTGACAACATACAAGAGTGATATACTTTGTGAAGCAAAGGCATAGATCCTTAATCACATTTTTCGGAATATACTGCAAAAGCCACGCGCGAAAGTTGTAAAAGCTTGTTTAGGATCACAAAATGGAGAATCACTCAATCAAACATATTATAAAGAAATGACTAAGAACATAATCAGAGTAGAGCATATAAAGAACGGTACCAATTCATTTCGTCGGTAATAAATATATTTTGTTAAAAAGTATGGATTTCCCTGCTGAACATACATTTCCTCATCGATTTCCACGTCTTCGAGTTCTGAAGCTTCAGAACGGCTTCCAATGCACCCTAAAACAAATAGATCAACAAGTAAATTTTCACTCATGCAAAACAAACAAAAAGTTCTTTTTATTTCAGTAACATATGAAAACTTACAAGGATTGCAGGCTCTGCAATGTTGATGTTCATTCTCACTCTCACCATTCACCATAGTATTCTTTTCCTTCTCATCATTTTTCTTCTCCTTTTCACACATCGATGATAGTTCGAGGATTTTGAACTTGAATACATTGTTTTCAATATGCGTGAAAACAATGTAGTCATTATCCTCTAAAGAATTTTCTTCTTTGAACCTTTTCCAGCCATCATCAAAATAAACCTCGTGACCGATACTAAGCAGTTTAACATGCCAATCTCTACCACTATGATTTCTTAGGACAAAGTCCGGCCTTACCATCTTCTTCAAATGCAGCAAGTTCACAAAAGCATTTGGTATAAGCTGCAATAGATTAATAAAAATGATAAAATCAAGTTTACAAAAGTTTTGGTTTATTGCATATTAAAAACAAAATATAAAAGCAATATTGAAAATAAGAAAATACCATTCTCTCATAATCTTTCTTTGTGAGGAAGACTTTGAAGAAATCAGGGAACTCTTTCACCATCTTTTTCTACACTTGAGAGAGAAGAGAGAAAAGAGAGAGTTGGTTTTTCAGAAACTTAATGGTGAAGGATGATATTTATCTTTTTTCTTCCTTAATTATTAATTGTTTGTTTCCTTAAAACGATTAAATGTTAACGCAGGTCTATTTGTATTTCTATTAATGGTATTTAATAATGTGCAATGCAGTAGCATTAATAGCAATATGGTAGATATGTGTAAGTGGTCCTTATTATCAAAGAATTGTATTATACTTTGTTTGATGATTCATTTTGAAATCTTGGCTACTGCTTTATTTGATGCTAAAAGAGGGAAGGAAAGTATGTTCACATTATTTACCCGGTTTGGGATAGCTATTTTCCTTTTTATTTGGTGTTTAGGAGATTGTTCTTCCCATGAAAAATCAATAATATCGTTAAGATCTGGAATTTAAACTCTGAACGCATCTAAAATGCAATCACATTCAAGTCTTAGACCTAAGACAGAACAAAGCTGAAAAATTCGGAGGTTAATGTTTGTATTTTTTATGGAGGGTAGTCTCTGTATTTTTTTACAGAGGTTAATGTTTGGACTAACTTGACTTATATAAACACGCTAGACGTTCCCTCTTTCTTTTTCATTTCAATAACTTTTTTAGAACCCAAAACAATGAGCAAACTTCGTTTCCATCATATTTCAAACTTTGTACATCTTTTACGATATTGCATTCAATCCTAGGACATTCCTCGATCTCTAATCCACTAAATTCAATCGAAAATCTTCAACTTCTCACGTTTGATAAGTTTCTCATTTTCTTTTTATTTTGTGATATCATTAGGTTTTAGTTAAACGCATAATATGTTGTTTATGGTACATTAGGTTGTAGTTAAACGCATAATAGGTTGTTTAGTGAGGCATGCATTTAGATTTTTTGAAGTTTGAAGTTTAGAGCTTAGGGCATGCTCTATTTATGCATTTCTACGTTTTTCTAGTTTCGCATGGTATGAACCTTTACTTCCGTATTTTTTTTATATGCATAGTTTGTTTGATTTTGCCTGTTTTGTTCAGTGAGTTTGACTTATTTGATTATGATATGATTTTACTGGTTTAATTAAAGGTAAAATGTCTTACAACCAAGAAAAATTGTGACATGATAGAGTGACCCAACATGCTTCTTCAGAGGGAAAAAGGTAGAACCTCACGTTCAACTGTTGGTGCCACTTCATTTGATGCAGAAGCATCATCTTTCTGATTTCATGTGTTTTCGACATCTTCTCATCTCTAAGACTGAGATATATATATATAATTGTATTAGACCTGAATCCTATGTCTCATAGTAATAACAACCGCTCCTGAGGAAATTGGAGAGTGGATTAGTCTCCCATTATTCATGGGAGTGTGATTGGTTTCCACGACTTCCTTTTTGTCGCTATGGACTAGAAACTTGTAATCAACATGATCATGCATTGTAGCACATCAAGGAGAACCCGAGAAACATATTTGAGAAAAGGGCGTACAATATAAAAAGGGACGCTCAAACCAGAAAGCAGGCAATCACGAAAAAGCCAGAGGTGAGATGTTGTGTATGCGTGTGTGAGGGGATACCTCTTCAAAGTCGTCATGAATTATTTTTGGGTTTTTAGTTATTTTTGAACTCTAGAGTTCTACTTACACTACTTTATTCTACTTTGTTAGGTATTTCACTTTTTTATCCGATGAGATCTCATCTATTGTTCATCCAATATCAGGTACATGAACTTATGCATCATTTTTGTTATTTTTCTTCACTTATCAGTTTTTTCAAAACATGCATTGTTAATTGTACTCTTACTCCTAAACCTATTCTTAGATCAAGGTTATTTCATACTCTCAAAACAAATGAAACTAGTCCACATGCTTACAATTTTTATGACTTCTAATGTCATGATGAGTCATCACTTTTCAAGTTACAGATGTGCATAACTATCTATTTTTACAGTCCAAATCTTGTTTCCAACATTTTTCAATAATTTAGATTTAGCTAAAATTGAGAATTCATTCAAGATTCAAGTCAAAGAAAGCTATGACTCGAGTCAAGGAGTCTTTTGATTTGAGTTTGGCACAACCTTAAATCGAATCAAACCTTTTTTAACCAAAATCTAGATTTTTGTCTTACTGAATGATTCGAATTGAGCAAAGTTGTGACTCAAGTCATGCTTTTATATAAATCTTGTTTCAAGTTTCAATAACTAAAAAATTATATATAAAATAGTTGCAAAGAAAACAAGTTGACTTCAAACCCAATACTAGAAGGGTCCCAAATTTTATTCTGATCAGCGAAATAAGCAATAACAGAAACAGAATCAGACAAGTTTTAAGTTAACATTACTATTACTGTTGCCTCCTTGTTTCACTCCTTCATAATCTTCCTAATGACGTGCACCCTTATCATTTTTATTTCTTTCTCCTCATGCAACACAATTTCACACAAGCAGCTATCACTTTCTTTGATCTTGTACTTAGCACAGAAATTTGCCCATCCCAGCGCAAATACTCGGCCGTTTTTCCATATACGTATTTCTCCCCTCTTTTTCCTATGTTTTGTGGTCATTGTTGGCAACGTCTCATGATAGGATGCTATTTCATTGCTTTCAATATCCTGTCATAGCAAAATAACAAAGGATGAATCCAACTTGATTATCAACTTATCAACACAAATAAATGAAAGTGGAAAAATAGAAGATACCTTGCAGTTACAGCATACAAGGTTGACATGTTTTGTGAAGCAGAGGCAGAAATCCTTAACAACCTTCTTAGGAATATGCTGCAAAACATATTACACCAAACAAGGAACATGTAATTGTTGCAAGCAAATGGACTAAACACTAATCATATAATGCTCGTCTTATATTAACAATTATACCAATTCGTTCGGTCTGTAATGATAATATTTTGGAAAAAAGTAGGGATTTCCGGGCTGAATATACATTTCAGCATCAATTTCATCGACGTCAAGTTTTCGAACCGTAGAGCTGCTCCCGATGCCCCCTAAATCAAAATAAATCATGAGGTAAAAACATACACAAATGACAAAGCAAAATAGAAATTTTTTCATGTCAAAACTTACATGATTTGCAGATTCTACAATGTTGATATTCATTTCTACTAACTTCATCGTCGCCCTCATCGTCATAATCATAATCATCATCATCATCATCATCAACAACATTATCATCATCATCATGTCCAACGCCGACTTCTCTCATATCATCATTATTTTCCTCACCATCCATTAGTTTAATCTTTTCACACCTAGATGACAGTTCAAGAATTTTAATCTTGAACACATTGTTTTCAATATGTGTGAAAACAATGAAGTCATTCTGCTCTAAAGAATTTTCATCTTTAAATCGCTTCCAACCATCATCAAAATAAAGCTTTCCGTCAATAGGTCGTGCTTTGACTTTCCAATCTCTTCCTCTTTGATCTCTAAAGATATAATCTCTCAATACATTTTGTTTTGAAATCATCAGCTTCACAAAAGCAACTGGAATAAGCTGCATTAGATTTAGAATGATGCAAGTGAGAAAGGTGATAAATTTGGATACATATCAAAAAGTGATAAATACCATTCTGTCAGAGTGTTTTTCTGGAAGGAAGACTTTGAAAAAATTAGGATACTCATTCATCGTGTTACTCATGATTTGATTATCTGAAAAAAATGCAAACATTTAAACCGTTAAAAGTCTTGAAAAGAAAAGAAAAGAAAATGAAAGGTGTGAAACAACGTAGAAAACATAGAAATATTGAAGGTTAGAATTTACCAGCAAGTTGCAGAAAATAGAGAGAAGAGAGTTTCTTGGCCTTTGGAAATGGGAGAGAAATAAAAGGTGACACACAAAATGCAGCAGAAGGTATCATAAAACTGCATTGTGTGTATTAACTGCATGTTTCCTTGAATGAATAAATTTTGAGTGGAAGTCTATTTACATTTCTACTTATGACATATTGTCATTATCAGATTTCCAGAATTCTCACATTATTATATCTATGTATTTAGAAACTCATTCTGAGTTAGAGAGAGACATTGTAATAGGTATGGTGCATGTGAAATGAAGCATTAACAGCCTAAGTGGTCCTTCTCAGAGAGTACTTGTATTGTGTTATACATTGATGCCAACAAAACCTATCTCATTCATATCTATCTGTCTTCCAATTGTGTAATCCTTTCTAGTATTAAAAGGCTACAAATATTCACATTATTTAAGACTCAACATTTTCACTTGCTTCCAAAATATGAATTCTGTGAGTTTTAGATGACATTTGTCTTTTGATTTTTGTATTACATGAAAGACTGAGAAAAGGCAGGTGCTCCAAATTTGCAATTGAATTTGGTATAGCCTCAATTGAAAAATCACTTAAATCTAACCAATGCAAGTATTTTATCTTGATACTCATGTATCAAGAACTCGAACTCTGAGTAGAAGAATAAATATAATTCTCAAAATCAAGTGAATCATTTTCAACAATTGATAAATGTCTTACAAAAAGAAACAGTTATTAAATTATGCAAAACCGGAATAATAGTAGTACTATTAAGAACATGAAATATCTATAAGGATCTTTCACGACATTGTTCTGGACTCCATCTAGAGATTGTGCGCTCTTCAATGGTATAGTTTTCCAAACATAACAAAGACTCGTCACCGTGAGCATTTTTATTAACATGCAAAACTAATAAAGTTTTTGCAACACTTCCAAGAAGTCGAGTAGTGCAATGAACGTCAGACCATACTCTCAATCTTCCATCTAGATCATCATCATTGTCATGAGATAGAACAAGTACACCATACTCAGAATGCACTCGAGCCGGATGATGGCGATAGACAATGAAGTCTACACCATACTGAGCCCCTGACCTGACTACCCAGTTTTTCATTCGAAGGTGAGAATAAGCCTTGTAGAAAAAAGGAAATGCTTCTTTCTTGGACTTGAAGTAACACCACAGCTCATCATCATTTGAAGGACCCGATTCAGCACCACCATTAATCTTGAGGCATTTCAAGGAATAACATAGGTAGAATGCTTCCTCGAAGGTTAATTGAAACAAGTACGCGTCCTTTTCAACGATTCTCACAGGTCGACCAAAGCACGCTTTATCAAGCAGGTCAAGTTGTTCAGGCTGCACTGCTAACTGTACGCAATTATGAGAGAGAAATCCGCAAGTATTTGATTGAAGTAAAGAAGAGTGAAGTTGCGATATAATCTTTGACATTGGTTCTTTAAGTGCTTCGGCTTCTGCATCCTTTTTCGATTTTGCATCTTTTCCTTTCCATCTTGGTGCCATTTGTCTTAAAAAAAGAAGTCAAGTTTTACAGATTGGGTGAGAACTTTTATCAAACAGTTAGCATGCAAAGAATGAAATGCATATAATATAGAGAGCTTTAGAAAAGAAAAGGAGCACAAAGGTAGCATTATTAGAAAGTAAGGAGCCTCGGAAGGATGTATTAATGAAATGGAAGACAACAGAGAAAGTTGTTAACATTGAGAGTTTATGAAAATACGTTTTACCGATATAAAGTCTCACCGCATCACTTCAGTTATAAGTTAAAATAAAAACACAAATAATTTTATAGTATCTAAACTTCCAAACCTTTGTCAAAAGTTAAAAATTATAATTGAGTATAGTGACATGGGAAAACCAAAGACTGTACATTGTGTTTGAACTCGTACAAAAATCACTTCCATGATTTTCTTATTGTGTAATTTTGGTAACTTTATTTATTTAGAATATGAATTAATTTTTAAAATATCTTATTTTTATGTTTGATACTTAAAGCCACTTAAATTCAATTCGATTGTTACGGATTTGGATCCTCTCCTTTTTTTTTTATATATCATGTCATCTCTTATGTTCTAATTTAACGGTTCCGAATTTATAATGAATAATTAAATAAAAAAAATCATTTAAACAAATACAAATTACTTATCCATTTCTCTCTCCTATTAAATGACTTATTTATTTAATTATTCATTATAAATTCTGAACCGTTAGATTAGAACATAAAAAATAACATGATATATAAAAAAGGAGAGAATCTATATCCGATGAGTACATGCTTAGTAGACATAGTTTTAATAAAATAATGTTTCAAGTTGTTGAGATTAACTTATAATTTGTTTTCTAAGAAATAGCAGAATATATAGAATTGAAGAAAATATATGTGAAGTCAGTTATGTGTCTTCCATAAGTACAACAAAGGTATCGTCTTGATAAATTTTCCAACAAAAGCACACTCGCCTCAATCAGTTTCTTTTTGAAAACTTTATCCTATATCCTATCATTTATTCCTTTACCTCTACATTATATATTTTTTATCAAAATATCCTTATATAAATAAGTATAAAATTTTTTTAATTTAATTATTTAATCTGGAATTTAATACATAAATCTATCTTTAAACACTTCTTGATTGATATGTTTAACAAACATGACAAGTATTATATATTTTCTGTAAAAATATTATATAATTTTGTTTATGAAATTTTTAAACTTTAATTTTTTAAAAATTTTAATATTATAAAAAATGAAAACAAATTATCCATATTTTTAAAAACTGATATTTTTATTAATTTCAATTTACTATAAAAAAATATATTTTTTCTTTTTTAATTCATATTTTATGTTTTTAGTTTTTTTTCAATGTCTTCCAATTTCAATTTACCTCATAGCTGATATAATGAGAAACTGTTTGTCAAAAATTATTTTATATTTTTTTATATCAGTTTCTTTGAACCGTAATCTCTTTCAACTATTATCTTCAAATTACCTCATACCCGCATCATTTATAATTTTTTAATAATTAACCCAACTATGAGGTAACTTATAATTATGGTTCGAGATATTGGCTATTTCCATCATCTTTCTTCAAACAGGTTGGCTCATACTTGAAGTATTTAGAAAATAAGAAGAAGAAAAAAACTATTAACTCAAAAATCGTGTTGTATATAGTTATTGCCATTCAAATCACATGCAAATATAAATTAGTATCCTTAACATCTTTTTACGAAAAATATATAATACTTTTCATATTTATTGAGAATATTAATTAAGTAGTGTTTAAAATTAGATTTATTTATTAAATTTCATATCAAATAATTAAATGAGAAAAATTTTACACTTTTTTATATGAGGATATTTTGGTAAAACAAAATATAAGATAAGGGTAGAAGAATAAATGATAGGGTATGGGGTAAAATTTTCTTTCTTTTTCTACAACAAAAACCAATTATGGCTTCACCGAGACATGTATCCAACAGGAATACTTATGTGTAAGTCATGTTGTTTTTTTGAGTATATATATATATATATATATATATATATATATATATATATATATATATATATATATATATATATATATATATATATATATATATATATATATATATATATATATATATATATATATATATATATAGTTGCTGTTTTTTTTTTTGTTTTCTGTTCATTTAGAATGTTGTAATTAGTTAATGTCAACTTTGATTCATATTGGATGTTGTTGCAGAGTATCATTTGATACTCCTGGAGATCCATCTTAGACCCGGAAAAAATTGGATGCACTTCATGCCGAAGCGAAAGAAGATGTATCAACAGGACCGCGGAAGTTAGTTGATATGGAAATTTCCAACGTAGTAGGTAATATGTTATAGTTGATGTTAATATTTTTGTTGTTGTTGTTAGATTAAGTATAAAATGCAAAAGAAATGACTTTGATTATGATATTGCAGTTTCGAAGAATTATATGATGGTTAGATCGAAAAGATGAATAAGATTCGTGCGCTACTACAAATATTATATTTTTGGGCGTGTCACATTCTGTCACACTCGCTGGCTCACTCGCCTAGTGAGACCTCAACGAACGCTCGCTTCCTCATTCGCCTAGCGAACCTGCTAGCGAATGCAGACAGTGGCTACTGGAAGTGTTCGCTACCTAACTCGCCTAGCGAATGCTCGCTACTAGCTCGCTCAGCAAAGGTGGTAGCGAACGTTTGCGATTTCACAAAACCCTCACTGTTCAGGAATTTCATCAGAAGCTCAAACTCATCTGATTCTCACCAAACCAGTCCCAGCAGTCTTAGCCTAGCATTCTACGACTAAACCACACTATTAATTCCAGACTTTACCCGATAAAACACCAACTCTACCGATTAAATCATTTTCGACCTAAACGGTAAACTACTCAGAACACCCAACAAATCCCTACATAATCACATGCAAGGCTGGAATAACCGAATTTCACCAATTCATCACAACATAAGCACAACTCGTCCATGGAAACAACAATCAGAACCACAACAACATCCTAATCATAATCATCAAATCCCTATGGGGTTAAGGAATCCCCAACTACCCCATTCATGCAATTACCAATTTTAACCCGTTTCTCCCCCCTTACCTCGATTAGTTGCTTTGATCGATGAAAAACTCCCAAGAATCCGACAGCCTTGGCCTTCTTCTTCTTCCTCTTGCTCTTGTTCTTTTCTCTTTACTTTTCTCTCCCACTTGATCGTGTCCTTCTTTCTAAACTCACAAAAATACCCCTTATGACACTTATTCCTCATTTCTTTATTCCAATAATAATTCCAAAAATATTAATAATAATAATAATAATAATTATTATTATTATTATTACTATTAATTATCAAATTATTATCATTATCAATTATTTTATATTAATATTAAAGGCCTTAACTTCTTAAATAATCCCCACAAAAGATACGCCAAAATAAAATAACACCGGAAAGACTAAATAATTAAAATGGGTGTTACATCAACTGCTCCAAGAGATCCATTGAGATCAGCTCATCAGAAGATTCTTGAGGAGCAGCAGGCTCAGCTGGATCATATTGAGAATGTCTTGCCTCATT